TTCCACAAATAACAAATGCCTTGGGGAGCAGTACAAGACTGAAGTTTGGATTTCAATAGAAATAGGATATTAAGTTGGAATGTGAATTAATATCTGCACATTTCTAGTCTCAACTGTGTGTTCCTCAGTAGAGTCCCTATGGTATCATATGAGAAACTAAATATATGTGGAACAGTAAGCTTCAGCTGGGAGCCCTTGGTCAGAATTAGATCAGATACTTGCTGACTTTGAGTAAAAGAACTTAAAATATCACAAAACTTCATACACATGAAAAATATGGTGAAGTTAAAACCATTTCCTAGCTGAATTTTGGTCATAAATTAGTACTATTGGGAAAGGATGTAGGAGACTTGGCACACTTTTTTTTTTTTTTTTTTTTTTTTTAAAGAAATACCATTCAGGGCAAACATTCTATTAACAAAACAGACAACTTGATATAGGAAAATGAAATAGAGACCAAAGTCTTTCTGGTAGAAGAAACCTATGAATATTTTTGTAGGTAGGCTGGCTCAAGCACTAGCATCAAATCAATGAAGTACTTCATGGATAAGACTGCAAATCCGTGATTTAAGTTGCAGTGATCTGAAAGACTGCAGAATGATGACAGCACCAGCAGGCTAACAGGCAGGGCATCAACAGCATCTTTCTCTTTTTTTTTTGTCCTGACATTCACTCCACTATCAATTTTCTAGAGTCTTAAGTACATGTTTGAACTTATGGACAATTACAGGTTTTTCTGAATTATGGGCCTGGAATGAGTAGTTTTTCAGCAAAGGTCACTGGAGCAGATTTAGAAAGCTGTCACTAATGTGTATCTGCAGTCCAGTTGTACCCGTTTCTCTTTGCCTTTCATTTGTTTCTTACAAATATCCACAGCACAAACCTACTTTACTTTTAATATGTTTGAGCGTTTGAACCTTCCCTGCCATCAACTCCCATCATCAGGTAGTTTGCTAGTTTACGTCCTGATGGCTAAGGAGGGAAAGCATGACATTGCAATTGCTAACAAGTCCCTAATGCTATGTGCAAGACTCAAACCCAGAGAACTTCTTGAAGCAATAAATATGTCAGTAATTAGCACTAATGAAAATCTTCATCAGCATAAAATAACCCTAATAGGTCTTTATTAGGCACATGAAGGGAATTATAGTTTATCCAGGCTAGCTTACAGATTTAGGAAGAAGGAAAAAAAAAAAAAAGAGGAAAAACTAAAAAATAAAAGTATAGAGTATTCCTATACTCAGTGTTTCATAGCCTTATAACTCTCCCTCGGCATCACTTTGGTGGCTTATATCCCTATAGTACCTGTCTCTTAAAAATATAATACAAAATATAAACATACAAAAATGCTTCTTGCTGTAATACTTTTGAATTTTGCGAATTAAGAACAGTGATGAAGGATTATGAATTATCCCTTTTTCTCTCCTTAAGTTAATTCAGTGCCCTGTGCTGCTGACCATGGAGCAACATGGAGTATTCTGAAGCAGCTTTAACTTGACAGATGTTGACGATCACCACAGCTTAGCACAGTGATGGAGAAGGCTTCTCAGTCAGTCTTCTCCAACCAGAGATCTAGAAATCACGTGAAAATAGCTGTCAATGAGATCTAACACTGCTTGAGGAAATAACTGACTTCATTAAAGGGAAGAAACGTTAATTCCTTCCTATCTTTCTACTATTCCCTATGCAAAGAACAGGAACAATATGCACTGTGTAAATACTGGAGGAAGTTATCTATTTGTCACTGAAGCTTGCAGCAGATAACTAGCTCCATATTTTCTTCTCAGGCTGCAATTGTGGCATCTTAGTTGATCACTGTGAGGAGCTGCTGTTTAATTAACATAGGACCTAAACGAAGGGTCTAAATTTGTATCTTTGCTTTAGATTAAGTAGCTACTACCTGTCTCTAGTCAGGTTCACTGAATGCCTTGTTTATCTTAATTACTACAGGAACATTTAATAAAATGCCAGTAATGTGCTAGTTTTTTAAAGGTCATTTTTTTTCATGTTAAGAAATTCTCTGTGGTCTGTAAAGATTACATCTCTTCCAGTAAATCAAGCTTATGGAATAGCTTTTCATTTCTTCAGTGAATGCTTTGTGAAGAAAAACACAATAGATAATAATCTTTATTGTGAAGCCTCAATTATTTGATGCTTGGAGTAATTGCAACTTCAGCTGGCAGCAGTCAGGATTTTGAGTGTCCAGAACTTCTCACATCTTCTAATGTCTCAGGCTGTTGGAACCAGTCAGCTACTTAGTTATTTCATGTGTCACTGGAAGAAGAGTCCTCTTTAAAGAAACAGATCAACCAACAAACTGAAGTGTTTGTTTCTCACGTGGGAAATTCCCTTTGAGATTTGATCTCAACCAACAGTTCATCAGAAAATTGCATATAACAGCTAACCAGATGACAGAAGGAAGGTGAACTAACACCTGCTGTCTTCAGTCCTTGAGTCTGATGTTTACATTACCCAGTATCACCTGAAAAGAGATTACTTGGTCCAGTGATAATCTTGAACTCACAGGACACAGCATGGTTGCAAGACTGGCTGTACACACAATCAACTGTGAAGGTGATGTTTCAAGAGAGAGGAAAAGTAAAACACTGCATCAGAGTTTTCTTAGGAAAATACATGAAATGCCTACTGGCACCTCTACATTCTCAGCAGTCTAGCATCACTGAAATCTCCTGGACAAAGCTTGGCTAAAATAATTAATACTGGTCAAGAAGAGGAATACAAATTATATGAACACCAGGAAAATCTTTATAAAATAGGCAGACTTCATCTACCACTACATTATCTACCTTGATATCCTTTCTTGCAGTAGACATAGTGAAATGAATTGGTGCAGAATAATCCCACCACATCATGCGTTCAGGAAAATGTTGCAAAAGGAGACTTAACCTCCAGCAGAAATACCTTATTCAAATGCCATACAAAAGTAGGAATGTTTCTGTAAGGATCCTTCAGTCATACCTTTGTTTTGCTATTGGCTTATTTGCCTGCATAATTTAAACATGCATTTAACTCATACATTTAATTTTTTTAAAATGAACAAAGAATCCTACATGTTTGTGCTTCTCTAACAGGCGAGTCTGTGAGCAGGACTGGGATGTAAACACAAACTTGGTAACATTCAGCACTCCTAATGCATTTTACTTAAGTCTTGTAACTTAAGAGTCCATAGATGTTTATTCTGACCACACAATGAGAACGGCAAAGTTTTTCAGAATAACATTGTAAGATAAAAAATGTTGTATGGTTTAGCATATATAATTCTTACAGTTGTATCAACTATATTTCAGGTTTTTGAGTGATTCTTTAAAATAAGAGTAAAATATTTAATTAATTTGTTTTATTATCAGGTGGGAACATGCAGATGCTCAATACCAACTGATAAACAAACTTAAGCAGTATATAGAAAACCTGAAAAAGCTTACTGAACATCTAGCTCTATCACTCATTATTTTTACCTGCCTAAACTAAACCCATATGTATTTAGCATCTTTTGTTTCTTTCCACATATTGCATGTCTATCACAATACCTTAAAAGACATCCTTTCTTGCATATTACTATAGCTTCTGCCATGCAGTGGGACACTGTCCTATCAGATAAAGTCTGTTTTAGGGGACGAAAAATGCTACTTAGTATTGATAATTCTTTCTCTTCACAAAAAAAAAAAGTAAAATATAAATATCTTTGTCTATGTGTCAGACACGTTGTATACTTTCTTTGTTGCATATTTCACAAAGGTGCAAGTAATTGTCTAGCAGAAAACACCATAGGGGAATTAAAAGTGAGATTGAATATATAATCCTTTCATTAGTCACTTCTGCTTTCAGAAATCAAATGGCAGAAACATACATTCCTTTCAGTCAAGATTGCCCCTTTGGGAGTGAGTGGAGCAGTTCATGTTAGAGTCCTTTGTTCCCTTTACTTACGGTATTGGAACTGTTGGGCATTAGAGACAAATCATCTATTGTTTTGCTTAATTTAATTTCTATTTAATTCTAAACCAAGGTGCTCAGAATAGCTTGATTTAAAAAAAAAAAACAAATAATTGAGAAAACTTAAAATAGTGACGAGTATTAACACACACGTTGGATCAGGAGGGAACAGTGTGGCAGGTGTATCAAAAACAGACTGAATCATTTTATTCACACAGTAATCTGAAATAAACCAGACCTGGAGTTCAGTCCCTACCTCTTTCAGGCTGACAGTGCCTGACCCAGACCTATTTCTGGGTTTGGAATTCAGCATTCAGCAGGGAGTATCAATGCTCCATTCATTGTCTTGTGCTATTCTGATTACTCTTTTTCTCTTCCAGGGCTTGCATGATTGTCTACTTATATAAACCCAGAGTAAACTGGCTCTTTGCCTTTGCTCCTAGCTTATTACTGGGTCTTCCTTTGCAATCACACCACATTAAAGCAATGCAGTTAATTGTTTCTTTTTCCTCTAAAGGGGTCGTCATTGCTCAGGTGCTGACATCTGCAATTACTGACTCACCACCCTAACAGACAATCAGAATTATTCCTCGAAGTGAAGTTGAGCTGAAAACATCATTAGCCAGTGTTAAAGGGGAGAAAAAGCCCCAATCTAATCAGAATATTATATGCCGGTAATTCAGCCGGCACCACCCTCTGTGGCCACACTTTGTAAGAAGATTACACTGCTCCCCATGAAGTGAAAATTACCTTCTTGAGGGGAGAAAGCGCTTAATTACGACCCTGCTGCCTCTCGTCTCCATGGTGATGCCACGCAAACAGCCCACTCCCTTCTACGCTGGGAGCCCCGACCCCCACGCTCTCAGGGCAGCCCAGGTGTGGCGCTCCCCGCGGAGCCCCGGCAGCACTCGGGCGGGAGCTGCGAGCGCAGGGCTCAGGGCTCCGCCGGTGCCCGCTGCAGCGAGCGTCTGTCTGCATCTCAGCGGGCTGCAAAGCGGCGGCGGATCGCGACGCGCCCCTCGGCGCTGCTCGGAGCGCGGGGCCGTTACCTGCGTGCTCCCCGGCTCCGGGGCCCGCGGGCTCGGTGAGGATGCTGGGGTCACTCTGCGATCTGCCTCGCGGGAGAAAGCAGCCGGGCCCTTCTTCCGATGCAGCCATGAGGCGGCGGGCGGGAGGCTCAGAGGCGGGGGCGGGAGGAGGCGCTCATGGAGCCGGCGGCCGCCGGGGGACAATGGGGACGGGGGCGCGGCGGCGGCGGGGCGTCAGCCGGGCAGCGCCAGCCGCGGCAGCATCTTCCCGGCGCCGTCGGCAGGCTGCGGCGGGGCCCGGCACCGGGGAGCTCAGGGGACGGCCGAGGACGCCTCAGGGAGGGGTGGGTGAGCCATGCCTCCCGCGGGGCCGGGCAAGAGCAGGGACGCGAGCCGTCCGTCCGCCCGGATCCCCGCCGCGCCCCGCGCGTCGCTCCCGGAGCCGCCTCAAGCCGCCGCGCCGCTGAGCGCATCCGTCGGAAAACATCGGGATTCTCCCATGGTGCCCCGCGAGCGGCCGCGTGACGTCACGGCGGGGGGGGGGGTGTGAGGGCGCCGCACCTGCACTGCACAAAGGCGGAGGCCGCCGCAGGTGCGCGCAGCTTGGAGGCTCCGCCCCCTCCCCGCGGCACGTGACTCGCGGAGGGCCCCGCCCCGCCCGGCGGAGGGAGCTGCGGCGCCGCGACCGCCCCGGGCCGAGCCGCGGTGTGCCCGTCGCGGCTCTGTGTCCGGCGACGTCGCACGGCGGGACGAGAGGTTCGGTTTGAGAGCTTGATCAGAAAGAAAAAAGGGCTGGTTTTGGGTTCACTGAACGACCCTACCTGCTGTGTTCACGCGCGACTTTCGACCGATAACAGCAGGCGAGTTTTGAGCGCTCTGCTGGGAACGCCGCACCGCCATTCATAGGGTTGTGCGTGTTGTCTCTCCGCTGCGTTCAATCCCCTTCGGTCCAGCAGCTGGCCGGTGCCTTCCGCAGCCCCACGGGTCCGTCTGCCAGGTTTTAAGGATGAAACTTCGTACCAGAACGTTTTCCATGCAGTCATTCATTTACTCACACTTTTGGCTCTACAGAAGCATATCTTACGTATGATTTTACATAAAGGAAATGCGTTTTAGTCATCTCTAAAAGCAGAGGCCAATAAAGCAGTTTTGTGGTTTTTACAATTAAAATCCATCACCTCTATCACGTTAAGAAGCACTCTTGCCTTTTTTGTCTTGCAGCGGTTTTCAGAGCTGGCCAACGTCTGCATTGCATTTGGGAGTCACCTTGGGCTGCATTCCCAGAGATTTGGGCTATAGAAAAAAAAGCCTGTGGGCTTGCATGTAATGCTTGGTTGTTATTGTCAAGTTGTATTTGACTGAGGTGTGAGCAAGGCTGTCCTGGTGCACTGCCCAAGGCCTGGATGCGCTGCTGCTCATAACAGTGAGTTCAGATACCATCAGGAGAATGAAAATTGAACAAAGGGTTTGAAAGCAAAATCTGAAAGTTTCTCGTTCATTGGATGCTCTCCCTTCTGGCTTTGATTAAGACTCATCCAAAACAAGAAGTAAAATACGGGGTTTTTAATCAAAGCTGTATCATAATGTGATGGAGTGAGTTAAGATAGTAAGGGCAATCTCTACTTTTCTGAGAGCTTACCATTGCCATTGTGACATGTTTTATCATAATTTCTTCCAAGCCTTTTGAGTTAAGTGGCTCATCCTAATTCCAAAAGGACAGCTAAATGAGCCATTTATATCACAATCTAAAACGTTCCCAAGGAACCGAATAAACAGATAAAACTTAAACACTTTGTTTAAGGGAGGCTTTAAAGATACTGGAATGCATTTCGTAGCCTTTTGCCCCTAGCCAAACTTTTGAGTTCCATGACTTAACACTGCAAAGGAGTTAGGACTGACAATAGATATTTCTGTGTGTGGATAGCAGAGTATGACATATGCACTGCGTCCAGCTTTTGATCTAGAAATATCTCTTTTGCACTGAAATAACAAGCCAAATCCACTTCTATTCCTAAAAAGAGGAAGTAGCAATTTTTTATCTTTTTCCCTATGTAAGTCTACAGTCATGCTAGAAAATGTTGATGGTTCTGTGAAATTCTGTCTGTACTGATCAATACACCCACCTTCTGCAGTGAAGAATTGTACTGATTACTTGTATAAAATATGTAGTTTAAAAGTCTCGTATCAGATTTTGGCGTTAGTGCAGGATGAATATATTAAAACATTTTCAACCCCAGAAAGAATACCCCCAAAGCAGCGTTGTATCCAATAGAAACACACACAGTGGTGTTTTTAACCAACTTACGTTCTGATTGCCTCTGTAGAGGGCACTTCATGGGGTCCCTTTGGATCTTAAAACAGTCAGATAGAAATCAGCCAAACAAGCCTAGAATCTCTCTTGCTGCTTTAACTTAGTTAAAACATTTCATTTTCTCTCACTCCAGCCAAGCCGAGCATCCAGAGGCTCAGTGTGGGAATAAATCCTGGGTACTGTGCATGCCAGCTGACAGAGCTGCCCCTAGGCCACCTTGTTTCCAGATGAACCATCACTGTGCTTGGGAGAGGCAGTGCAAGAAAGAATTGTGTTAAGACTGTATGTTTAAACCTGTGTCGCTAAATAATGCCTGATGAGTAAAAGTATGCATCCTTACATGGTTTTTTTGTTTTGTATATAACGATGATGATAATGATGATGGCAGTGCATCTATTTGCACTTTTCATTTCCTAACCCTCAAGTAGGCTCTGCATTCTTTCCGGGGAAAACACAAAGCTTTTGACAGGGAAAATAGATGAGATTCATGGTGTTTTCTTTGTATTCAAGGAGTAATGCCAAAAGGTCTGCATAGAAGCAAGTGAAAGTTGATGGGTAAGCACCAACCAATATATTTTATGTATTCTAAATGGAAAACCACCCTGAAATTAGAGTGAAACTAAGTCTGGTTCTAGCTGTTGCTACCAACACTTGAAAAATTGCCCTTAACTTCCCTTCTTCTTTGAGATCTAATTTTATAAATGTCACAAACAAAAATATTTGCAGGATCCAAACTTCTATTGGTAGAGACATGGTTCTGCTTTTATTCTCTAACTGTAATAGTTTTCTGGTAAACAAGTTTGCAACATTTTCCAAGAAAGCACAATGATCTAATCTCTTTATTTCCCTCTCAAAGGATCTCTAGCTTTGATATTTGTGATGAAAATTGATGAGTTTTCTAGCGTAGTGGTGGATATGTCTGCAACTGGGGGTCTGTTTAGTGGGAGGGAAAAACAAACAAACAGAACAAAAAACTTCTTAAAATGAAATATCTGTCCAAGAAAAACAAGGGAGAAAATGTAGCTAGCTTGATGGTAGTTTAACAACCAAACCAATGCATGTGCATTTGGTATGACTGCCCTCAGTAATATTAACACACAGTGATGTAAGTGGTATTCATGGTTAGAGCCTTCTGCTTGGTGCATCTGAACTCCTGCTTCATGATCCTAACTTGTGTCAGAAAGAAAGAATTCTCTGAGGAAGGGGGAAAAAGGAGGCGAGTCATGGCAGTACTATTTTTCTTGAATCATCAGAATGTCAAACAACCTCATTTTTGTTAATCTGAAGTCTGTGTATGACCTCTGAACATAGCTTACATCTTTCTGTGCTGTCACGTAAAAAAATCAGTGCAGGATACATTTGGATTGACTGTGCTCACCATCATGTTAGAATTGTGCTGATGACCACAGGACAAGTAGCCTCGCTCTGAGCAGTTTTCTCAGATGCAGAAGAAAGCATTTGTTCTGTTGCTTAGGTGTCTTAACCTAGTTTTTAGGTTTTCTGCCAGCTTGTTGTAGTTCTATGTTCTTACACTAACAACAAAGAGGAGCATTCCAGTGCTTAAAAGGCTCTTGTCTCTATTTAGTGTTTGTGTGATAAAGAGGGCATAGGGCCTATTTTGAGCCTTTATTTGTCAAGAAGATAAATGCACATCATTGAGAACAGACAGAAGTATCATCCCACAGTCAAAACTTTGTATGCACTGAGACTTGAAAGATGCCTTCGCCAAAGCATGATGATGTAGTTGCTACTATGGATGGCAAATGAAAAATGAATAAGCATGAGGGACTCATTTATTGGTGGGTTTGTGTATGTATTCACAGTTAACATCTTGGATACTGAGGAGCTATTCCAGGAATCACTCATCTGATTTTCATGTTTGCTTTCTGTCACAGCTCCAGTGCTCTGCCTGTCATGTTGTAAGGGAGTGAAGGGAAGAAGCTGGCAAAAATGCCAGGCAATGCAGTCACTCAGCTGCCGGTCTTCCTGACAAACAGCTCTGCTCATGCATTTCCTAGAACTGCAACGGCAAAGAGGTCAGCATCGATTCTGTATCTGCAGTGACACAACTTCAAACGGTAACAGCAGAGTCCTGCTCTGTGGTGAAGGAGCTGGTACCTCAGATGCACAAAGGCCTCTGGAGAGCTTTAGGGATGCCATGGCTGTGGTGTAAGAGGGCAGGAGGAGGGGCTGTGTGAGGAGGGAGAGAAGTGCCCTGCACTGTGGGAGGTGAGTGGCTGCAGGGCTGTGGTTGTGCCGTGCAAAATTCCACAGGGATGGATCTAATTTTTCTTTCCATTCTTTTCCATTTTCTTTCCCTTCAGACTTCAAAGTGTCTGAGGAAAAGATGAGTATATACAACTTTTGTGGCACGTCCAGATCTTCCTTCCCTCACTGCCATTTGGAAGAGAAAGATTTTTTACACAAATTACTTTATAGCCACAGTGTTCTTAAGGAACGTGGCTGGATATTCCTTATTATCTTCATTTGCACCCTCAAAGCATTCCATGATCTTGGACATCCAAAACAAGGAACACCTGCTGACCCCACAGTGTGAGCCACGAGCTGTGCTCAGTGCTGTGGCATGTGGGTGGCAGGTGGCCCCAATGGCCCCAACAGCCCCAGTGGCTGTAATGGTCCTGATGGCCCAAATGGCTCCTCACAGCACTGCCATCTCTGCTTTACTTTTGAGCCTTTTATCGAGGATGTCACACAGTCTGCTCCAGAACCCCAGTCCTGCCCTGTGCTTACACTCTGACAGATCTACCCAGGATTTATCTCCACGTGCAAGGTATTTGGTCCTGCAGTTTAACTTCAACTTGATAGAATGGGAACTTCCTTTCATGAAAAGTACCATTTAGATAGTTGTGAATGTTGTTAGAACAGCAAGTAATGTGAAAACATTGTTACTCAGTTGCAG